GGGGGGGGACTGTGCCAAGCTGTCCATTATGTGACTCTGGCACGTGCTACTTTGTTTCTTCTTTGCCTTTTGCCTTCCAGGAAATGTGACAAGATGCACGCCCAGCATTATGGCTCTCATGTCAATGCTTACTCCCGACAAGTCCCCCCCACCCGAAGAGCAACTGCCAAGCAGATTGAATGCTGATTGTTTCATTCATGCAATGCAAAACTTGCTTAACATCAGTGGCACTCGTATAGTTGGAGGCGCCTTCCCACAACTTCCCCGGGCCAATTATCAATGACATCATCCGAGCCACCAAACTGAGACTCACCCACACGCGCATGCACTTGCACACATGTCGTCAAAATTCAACAAGTAATCACGGGGCTTGCATGCAAGATCGCTGGATCACAAACATATCCAGGGAACGCATCAAACGAAGTCTGAATCTGACTCTTTAGCAAAAACATCAACCGGACAACGGACAGGATTTTCTCAGAAAAATTCATAGTTCTTGCACAGCACAAAACAAAAACGATGCCGCAAAGGTAATAACGGCTCCCAAAACAAAACACGCAAAGATTAAAAAAAAAAAAAAGGTTCGGTGGTATTCCCTCCTATTTTCTTGCACGCGGGATTTCGTCTGCTCTCAGGCTCTTCTTTTTTCCTTATTGTGAAAGAAGCGGCATATGATAGGGCAGCTCTTTATGCTTTTTTCTTTCTTTTGTGTTTTTCTGAAGTTTTTTCCTTTTCTGTTTTCTTTTTGCGGGCGAAGCCGCAATGGGTCATCTAGTGCTACTTTAAAATCCTTCGCGTTTTGATATTATAATGAATTGCGGTTACAAAATAAATAAAAAATAAAAAAAATCCGTCGAAGTATTCGTTGGAACGACGAGTGTGACACGGCTTTTATTTTTGGCGTCAACTCTTTTCTTAATCTTGGAACCTACGGAGTGAACAATGAGTGGAACGGCGGTAATTTATTTCTGAAGATTTTTGGCCCATCTGAAGGTGAGGGTTAGCAATTAGGCGAATAAACATGTTAGTGTTCTGACAATGTCGTTTTAATCCTGAACCTTTTTTTTTTATTTATTACAGTGTTTGGTACTATTAGGCGAATATGTTGGTGTTCTGACGATGTCGTTTTAATCCTGAACCTTTGTTTTCATTACTACAGTGTTTGTGTCTATTAGGCGAATAAATATGTTAGTGTTCTGACTATGTCGTTTTAATCCTGAACCTTTTTTATTACTATTACAGTGTTTGTGACTTGGACTGCAAGATTCACGTAACGGCTTCAAACGGCGGAAAAAGCACCGAACGGCGGCAAAAAGCACAAAACGGCATCAAACAGAGACTTGTTGGTTGAGGTTCTGCAGGTTCCTGCTGTTGTGTGAATAGGGGAGCAGCAGGTTGGACGAAGGGTTTTCGGGCGGTACGGGATTCCCGAGGAGGTGCTGTACAGTTGCCGCCTGCGTTTCCTCTGAAGTTTTGCTCCTGTAGATTTTCTTTTTAATTATTATTTTTTTGGTTGTGAATCGTCTGCGAGCAAAGGAGGCGGAGGGGGAGGCAAGGGAAGGGGAGTGGAGAAAGGAAAAAAGAGGAGGGGGCGGAAAAAAAACACGGGCAAGGGAAGGAGGCGGAGGCGGGGGCAAGAGAAGGGGAGTGGAGAAAGGGAAAAAGAGGAGGGGGCGGAAAAAAAACACGGGCAAGGGAAGGGGGACTTGAGATCGAAGGAAAGAAAACAAAAGAGACAAGTCATGGATGTCCATAATTATGATCCGCATGCTGCTTATGCTGGATTGGCACAGCACGACCCGGCCATCCTAGTGGACAGAGTCGTGTCTAATCGTCGATGCAGGGACGTACCATTCTTAGTGCTATTCCTTGCGTTCTGGGGTGGAATGATCGCCTTCGCTGCCATTAGTTTCATCGACGGTAATCCTCGCAGATTGCTATACGGAATAGACTACAACGGCAACCTCTGCGGGACCAAGGGTGGTGACCCGGACCTCAGTGGGTTCAACGTGAGGTACTGGATGAACCCGAAGCAGTTGATGGAGGGAGGCGACCTCACGCTTTCGCTGAGCCTGAGGGATGCGAGAGCCATTTGTCTGGAGGATTGTCCATCGCTGGCGGAGGGCAACAACGTCTTGTCGTGGGTCTGCGATTACCCCCAGATCAACGGCAAAAATGCGTCCAGTCCGCTGCATCAGCTGAGTCTAGCCGAGTGGGGCAGACGCAATTACGACTACTACGATCTGCTCGATGGTAATCAGCGGAGGTCCTCGTTGGCCTTACACGGCCCCTGCTACCCGGTGCTGATCGAGTCGACGAGTCTTTTCAGGAGTTGTCAGCCTGCGGGGAACATCAGCGCCGCCAAATACGATCTGTGGCTCCAAATGAACGGCTCCGAGATCACTTTTCACAACAAGCCAGTTTGGGATGTCGTCAACGAGTATTTGAGTGCGCCGTCGTCGGTGCTGGAGCGGTACGTTGCCGATCTTGGGAAGGCATGGGTGGTGCTCGTCGTGTGCGGAGCCATAGCTCCCTTCGTCCTGTCCTTCGCCTGGCTGATCCTCGTGCGCTACTCGGCTAGGCTTACGGTCTGGCTCACCGTGTTCCTCGTGAATGTCCTTGCTATTGCCGTGATGCTTCTGTTCTACGTGAAGGGTGGGTGGGTTGGCAAGGGTACCATCAGTGCGGTTATGGGCAGCAAAGCCTCGGCTTTGACGGTGGGTTTCGATGGTGCAGAGGCGGAGCGGAATGACCTGCGAATCGTGGCCGTTCTTTTCACGGTCCTCGTGGCCGTCCTCATCTTGTTCAGCTTGGTCATGCTTCGCCGCCTGCACTTCGCCGCTGGAATCCTAAAGGTCGCGTCCAAGGCGATGGTTGCCATCCCATCTCTGCTGGTCTTTCCGATCTTCCCATTCGTCGTCGCAGTGGCCTTTGGGATTTACTGGGTGCTGGTGGCCATGTACCTGTTCAGTGCTGGGGAGATCACTCGCCGTCAGTGTAGCAGTGGAGCCGACTGCAGATCCTACAGCGTTCCGCTCCTGGAAACCGTCACTGGCCCCGAGCATTGCTGCGGCTACGACATCACGTTTAACTCCAAGCTCAAGTGGGCCATGGTTTACCATATCTTAGGCTGCTTCTGGACTCTGCAGTTCATCGTGGCGTGCTCGATGACTATCATCGCCGGGGCGGTTGCTAGCTTTTACTGGGCGAAGAGCGATTACGCGACCCTGCCCTACCACCCCGTGATGAATGCCACTAGGCGCACGCTCGTGTATAGCCTGGGATCTATGGCCCTCGGCTCTCTCGTTGTCGCCGCAGTCGAACTCATCCGTTGGTTTTGCGACTACCTGAGACGGAAGCTCATCGCTGATGACAACAGCGTTCTGAGGTACGTTTGCTGCTGCACCGAGTGCTGCCTCGTTTGCCTCGACTACGTCGTCAAGTTCATCAATCGCAACGCCTACATCATGATCGCTATTAAGGGCTTCAGCTTCTGTGAGGCGGCGGGCAAAGCGTCCGTCCTCATTGTGGACAACGTTTTGCGCGTCGCCGCTGTCAATGTGATCGGCGATTTCGCGCTCTTCCTGGCCAAGCTCATGGTGTCCTTCGCCTGCGCGTTTTTCGCTTTCGTGATGTTGGAGGACAGGCGCTACAGGGAGGGGGAGGCGAGGGTGTCCAGCCCTCTTGCGCCGGTATTATTTTGCATGGGGGTCAGCTTCATCGTCGCGTACATATTCTTCACTGTCGTGGAAATGGCCATGGACACCATCCTCTTGTCGTTTTGCGAAGATTGCGAGGAGAACAACAACATCCCGCGGTTCGCTCCGAGGCTGCTGATGGACACGCTGAAGATGGCGCAACACGAGCACGAGGAGAAAATGAAGGCGAGAGAGAGAAGGCGGAGACGACGGGAAGCAGATCACCGACTGCCCACCGTTGTAGGTGTCGTTCCTTGACCAAGGAAACGGACCATGTGAGTGTTTTTCTTTTTTTTTTTTCTCACCTTTTTCTCCCCCTTTCAGTTGCCTATTTATAGACGCGCTCGTTCGTCTCTTGATGATCGGCGTCTAATGGGGCCCTCCTTCCTTACGTAGAGGTGGATGGATTCGAGACCTCTCTCATGCCGGCCCCGGTCGTTCGCCTCTCCTTTAACCGAAAGCTAGTGAGTAATCCTGCCTTTGTCACTCGTGGTGTTTTGTAGCTTCGATGGGACCGTGGGGGTTGTACGCTCCTCAAGGATGTGACAGAAGAATCTACGGTTCTTCGTTGGGCTACCTATGCTTGATTGATGTAAAAAAAAAGCCATGGTGGCAGTCCTCTAGGCAAAGGAAAAGGGAGGGTGTTCGGTTCGTCTGGCGGAAAGGGAAGTACTGTCAGGACGAGGGCTGCCTCTCCTTGCCTTCGTATGTCCAGCCATTGTGACATACCTGTCTCCCAATGTCCCCCGCTCTCTGTGCGAGGCCTCACTGCGCTGGGCACGATCCTTGAGCCAAGAACAACTTGCTGTTACTCTACATGCCAGAGGAGGGAAGGAAGGATTCGATTTCGGCGCGGACCTCTGCCCCCAGCAGCAGTCATTCTTGCAATTCGATCGCAGTTGCACTGGATGATTGATGATCCTCGATTTGCAGAGGTGGGAAGAGAAGAGAGAAGAAGGTAGAGTCGTGGAATTACCTGCGGGAGGGGAGGAGAAGAAGCTCGTTGTGTGTGGTATCCTACGTTGATTGGGCAGCCATGCCTGTGCCGTTTTTACCCTCGGGTGATAGATGAAAGAGATCGAACTAAGGTAGTTAGGCGATAGAAAGCTCTCTTGAGATCCTGGGCGAGCTCGATGCCCGGAAGGATCCCGGGCGGGTTCGATGCCCGGAAAGATCCCGGGCGGGTTCGATGCCCGGAAAGATCCCGGGCGGGTTCGATGCCCGGAAAGATCCCGGGCGGGTTCGATGCC